GGGGGGATAGAGTGAGACCAGGGGACACAGTGAGACCAGGGACAGAGTGAGACAGTGAAACAGAGCGAGGGGAGACTGAGTGAAAAGGACAAAGTGAGACCAGGGGACAGAGTGAGACAGTGAGACAGAGCGAGGGGGGATAGAGTGAGACCAGGGGACACAGTGAGACCAGGGGACAGAGTGAGACAGTGAGACAGAGCGAGGGGGGATAGAGTGAGACCAGGGGACACAGTGAGACCAGGGGACAGAGTGAGACAGTGAGACAGAGCGAGGGGGGATAGAGTGAGACCAGGGGACACAGTGAGACCAGGGGACAGAGTGAGACAGTGAAACAGAGCGAGGGGGGATAGAGTGAGACCAGGGGACACAGTGAGACCAGGGGACAGAGTGAGACAGTGAAACAGAGCGAGGGGATACCGAGTGAGACAGGACAAAGTGAGACCAGGGACAGAGTGAGACAGAGCGAGGGGGGATAGAGTGAGACCAGGGGACACAGTGAGACCAGGGACAGAGTGAGACAGTGAAACAGAGCGAGGGGAGACTGAGTGAAACAGACAAAGTGAGACCAGGGGACAGAGTGAGACAGTGAGACAGAGCGAAGGGGGGATAGAGTGAGACCAGGGGACACAGTGAGACCAGGGACAGAGTGAGACAGTGAAACAGAGCGAGGGGAGACTGAGTGAAACAGGACAAAGTGAGACCAGGGGACAGAGTGAGACAGTGAGACAGCGAGGGGGATAGAGTGAGACCAGGGGACAGAGTGAGACCAGGGGACAGAGTGAGACAGTGAAACAGAGCGAGGGAGGACACCTGGGACAACAGGAGTTACCTGGGTGGTTGGACACTGGTTGTGGATATGGAGCAGTACTGTGATGCTGTGACCCTGCAGGAACAAACATTTAGACTCAGTATGATGTACTACTTCAAAGTACTAGAGAAACATACTTCTACTGCAGTACTTTGATATCTGAACATATGATGTCATACAGAAGTGAGTGTTGGGGGCGTTGTGATGATGTAATGGAGGCTGCTGGTGGCTCCGCCCACTCTGTTGAGGTCCTGCAGGGCTGTAAGGGGCGGGGCTGTTACCTGGCCAGGTGGCTGCAGAGACACAGGAAACAGGTCAGTCTCTGTCTCACATCACATCAGTATCTATGTAGTACTGTGGTACTACTTCTGCTAATACTGATGCTGCTACTACTGCTGCTATGACTGCTGTATTACTAGTTCTACCATTACTACTACTGCTTGTATTACTGCTACTACCTAGTAGTACTTGTACTGCTACTACTACTGTTACTTTCCAAACTGTTCTACTATTACGAATGCTGTTACTACTGCTACAGCTATTCCTTCTACTACTGCTAATACTACTGCTACTTCTACGACTTCAGCTGTACTGGTTCTGTTACTTCTACTACAACTTGTACTGTTACCACTCATTCTAAAAGAAATTATAGTATAGTATAGTATAGTATTATTGCTGTTATCCTGACCCCGCAACACAGCGTAATACAAACACGCCACAGTTTATTTTAGGAGTACTTCAGTACTCAGGTGTGTGTAGCAGTACAGGTTCTGTACCAGTTTTGGGGGGGCTGCTGTACTCGGGGCTCTGTTGATGTGGGGAGGTCGGGGTGGGCGGGTGAGGAGGCCGGGGCGTGTGAGAGGGGTTAGGGTGAGGCGGGGAGGCGCGGCCCCCGTGGTTCTGAGGCAGGGCGATCTGAAGGAGGCCGCGGCCCTCACCACCGCTCCTCCTGCAGCCAACGCCGCCAGCTGCCAGAGCGGCCGCCGCCATGGAGCTGCTGCCTGCGGGAGAGACGGCACGACGTCAAGACAAAACGATTTAAATATGAAGTGATGCACCTGACTGACAGTCTGACCTGGAGGAGAGAGGAGCATGCTGGGATACGTGCTGACAGGGCGGGGCTGGTTGTAGGGTTCAGCGTGGGGGGCAGGTCGATCTGCAGACAGTCCTGTATGAATCCTCCTTATCAGAGACTGAGGACCTGAAGGAAGACAGGGACCAGGACCAGGGGGACAACAGGTGAGACTGTACTGATCCTGTTTACAGATCAATACAGAAAAGTTCCGAGAGTCGATTCCGACGGCGTCTGTTGCTGCCTGTGATGCTGCTTTTCATAAAGTCAATTATACATCAGAAGTAAATAAAAAATAATAAACAAATTAAGTAAATAAAATTAGAAAACTCTGCAGTTTAAAAGCAGATCAGCCTGTACTTAAACTGCAGTACTGCCTGAAGTGATTACTACATGTAATATGACACCATCTACTCCAACACCAGAGTATTACTGTATATAATTAAATATTAAAGACGTAGTTTGTTTATTCAGACTGCTGCTGCAGCTCGGCTGCATTTCTGCTTCAGCAGGAAAAATAAACTGAAAACTGTTCTGATTGTTTCCACGTGTCTGCGATCAGTTCACCTCAGTGGTGGACAAAGTACTAATACTTAGTAAAAGTACTAAGAGTGCAAACAACAAATCAGCATCATGTTTTTGAGGAGAGCGAAGGCACCAGGGACCCCTGTTTTCATCCAGGGGGTCCCTGTGGATATTGTGGAGGATTACAAATACCTGGGAGTGCACATGGACAATAAACTAGACTGGACCAAGAACACTGAGGGCCTCTACAGGAAGGGCCAAAGCCGTCTCTGAGGAGGCTGAGGTCCTTCAACATCTGCAGGACGATGCTGAGGAGGATGTTTTATGAGTCTGTGGTGGCCAGTGCTGTCCTGTTTGCTGTTGCATGCTGGGGCAGCAGGCTGAGGGTAGCGGAAACTAACAGACTCAACACTTAAGATACTTAAGTTAGTTAAGTTAGTAGACATTATTATCTGTTTTTGTGCAATATCATCTGTTCAATAATTAATGTGCAATATTCTCTGCTGCTATTTATCCACTGGTCCTTTTTGGTTCACAATAACGATTCTTTAATAATGTAAATATTGTACAGACCCACACTCCTTTATTTGTCTTTATATATATATATATATATATATATATTTTTTTATTATATTTTTTTTTTTATTTCAAGTGTGCAACTCTGATCCCCTCGGGGATCCATAAAGTGTTTCTGATTCTGTGTCAGTAAGGGCGGGTTGTGTGTGAACACAGCGAGACGTCTAGCGGTCAAACTCGCGTGATTAACGTGATCGGAATTTAAAATGTGCATTGTTGTTTGAAACCGGCGTCAGACTACACATGACTCTGAATATGCACCATAAATAAAAAGGTTATTGTTAGTAAACATGCATCTGTTGCCGTGTTACCGTGGGTTGTTGGCAGAGTGTGTGTGTTTACCTGTGGTGGCGGGAGACGCCACCCTCTCGTAGTGGTAGGGGTTCACGCACACGCTGTCGTACTTCAAGTCGAAGGCAAACTGACAAAACTTCACGTGTTTCAGCTCGTTCTTATGGAGATCAGGCCAACGCCACAGACGGGCGTAGATCACATGAGGGAAACCTTTCCTACCCGCCACCTGCAGACAGACAGGTGAGACAGACAGACAGGTCAGACAGACAGACAGATCAGACAGACAGACAGTGAGGAAACATCTCTCATGGAACTTTAAATAAACTCTGAGCACAAACTGAGTCATGGTGAGCAGGTTACCATGGAAACACTGTGTTTGTATCCCAGGTGATGCAGCGTTAACCCGTCACACCAAACCATGACCATGACATCATGTCTGACCTTGTGTGTGTGTGTGTGTGTGTGTGTGTGTCAGACAGCCAGACGTGAACACACTGCAACAGATCATCGGTCTGTGTTTGGGTGAGAGAGCTGCGGCCTGTAGCTCCTCTACAGAGTCATCATCACTTCAATCAGACAACGCTAACAACACTACAAAAATCAGACAACGCTAACAACACTACAAAAATCAGACAATGCTAACAACACTACAAGAATCAGACAACACTAACAACACTACAAGAATCAGACAACACTAACAACACTACAAGAATCAGACAACACTACAAGAATCAGACAACGCTAACAACACTACAAGAATCAGACAACGCTAACAACACTACAAAAATCAGACAACACTACAAGAATCAGACAACGCTAACAACACTACAAGAATCAGACAACACTACAAGAATCAGACAACACTTCAAAAATCAGACAACACTAACAAGAATCAGACAACGCTAACAACACTACAAAAATCAGACAACGCTAACAACACTACAAAAATCAGACAACACTACAAGAATCAGACAACGCTAACAACACTACAAGAATCAGACAACACTACAAGAATCAGACAACACTTCAAAAATCAGACAACACTAACAAGAATCAGACAACACTAACAACACTACAAGAATCAGACAACACTACAAGAATCAGACAACACTTCAAAAATCAGACAACACTAACAAGAATCAGACAACACTAACAACACTACAAGAATCAGACAACACTACAAGAATCAGACAACGCTAACAACACTACAAAAATCAGACAACGCTAACAACACTACAAAAATCAGACAACACTACAAGAATCAGACAACACTAACAACACTACAAGAATCAGACAACACTACAAGAATCAGACAACGCTAACAACACTACAAGAATCAGACAACGCTAACAACACTACAAAAATCAGACAACACTACAAGAATCAGACAACGCTAACAACACTACAAGAATCAGACAACACTACAAGAATCAGACAACACTTCAAAAATCAGACAACACTAACAAGAATCAGACAACGCTAACAACACTACAAAAATCAGACAACGCTAACAACACTACAAAAATCAGACAACACTACAAGAATCAGACAACACTAACAACACTACAAAAATCAGACAATGCTAACAACACTACAAAAATCAGACAACGCTAACAACACTACAAGAATCAGACAACACTAACAACACTACAAGAATCAGACAACACTACAAGAATCAGACAACGCTAACAACACTACAAGAATCAGACAACACTACAAGAATCAGACAACGCTAACAACACTACAAGAATCAGACAACGCTAACAACACTACAAAAATCAGACAACACTACAAGAATCAGACAACACTAACAACACTACAAGAATCAGACAACGCTACAAGAATCAGACAACACTACAAGAATCATACAATGCTAACCACTACAAGAATCAGACAACGCTAACAACACTACAAGAATCAGACAACGCTACAAGAATCAGACAACACTACAAGAATCAGACAACACTACAAGAATCAGACAACACTAACAACACTACAAGAATCAGACAACGCTACAAGAATCAGACAACGCTACAAGAATCAGACAACGCTAACAACACTACAAGAATCAGACAACGCTAACACACTACAAGAATCAGACAACGCTACAAGAATCAGACAACGCTACAAGAATCAGACAACGCTAACAACACTACAAGAATCAGACAACGCTAACAACACTACAAAAATCAGACAACACTACAAGAATCAGACAACACTAACAACACTACAAGAATCAGACAACGCTACAAGAATCAGACAACACTACAAGAATCATACAACGCTAACAACACTACAAGAATCAGACAACGCTAACAACACTACAAGAATCAGACAACGCTACAAGAATCAGACAACACTACAAGAATCAGACAACACTACAAGAATCAGACACACTAACAACACTACAAGAATCAGACAACGCTACAAGAATCAGACAACGCTACAAGAATCAGACAACGCTAACAACACTACAAGAATCAGACAACGCTAACAACACTACAAGAATCAGACAACGCTACAAGAATCAGACAACGCTACAAGAATCAGACAACGCTAACAACACTACAAGAATCAGACAACGCTAACAACACTACAAAATCAGACAACACTACAAGAATCAGACAACACTAACAACACTACAAGAATCAGACAACACTACAAGAATCAGACAACGCTAACAACACTACAAGAATCAGACAACGCTAACAACACTACAAAAATCAGACAACACTACAAGAATCAGACAACGCTAACAACACTACAAGAATCAGACAACACTACAAGAATCAGACAACACTTCAAAAATCAGACAACACTAACAAGAATCAGACAACGCTAACAACACTACAAAATCAGACAACGCTAAACACTACAAAAATCAGACAACACTACAAGAATCAGACAACACTAACAACACTACAAAAATCAGACAATGCTAACAACACTACAAAAATCAGACAACGCTAACAACACTACAAGAATCAGACAACACTAACAACACTACAAGAATCAGACAACACTACAAGAATCAGACAACGCTAACAACACTACAAGAATCAGACAACACTACAAGAATCAGACAACGCTAACAACACTACAAGAATCAGACAACGCTAACAACACTACAAAAATCAGACAACACTACAAGAATCAGACAACACTAACAACACTACAAGAATCAGACAACGCTACAAGAATCAGACAACACTACAAGAATCATACAATGCTAACAACACTACAAGAATCAGACAACGCTAACAACACTACAAGAATCAGACAACGCTACAAGAATCAGACAACACTACAAGAATCAGACAACACTACAAGAATCAGACAACACTAACAACACTACAAGAATCAGACAACGCTACAAGAATCAGACAACGCTACAAGAATCAGACAACGCTAACAACACTACAAGAATCAGACAACGCTAACAACACTACAAGAATCAGACAACGCTACAAGAATCAGACAACACTACAAGAATCAGACAACGCTACAACACTACAAGAATCAGACAACGCTAACAACACTACAGAATCAGACAACGCTACAAGAATCAGACAACACTACAAGAATCACACAACACTACAAGAATCAGACAACACTACAAGAATCAGACAACGCTAACAACACTACAAGAATCAGACAACACTACAAAAATCAGACAACACTACAAGAATCAGACAACACTAACAACACTACAAGAATCAGACAATGCTAACAACACTACAAGAATCAGACAACGCTAACACACTACAAGAATCAGACAACACTAACAACACTACAAGAATCAGACAACACTACAAGAATCAGACAACGCTAACAACACTACAAGAATCAGACAACGCTACAAGAATCAGACAACACTACAAGAATCAGACAACACTACAAGAATCAGACAACACTACAGAATCAGACAACGCTAACAACACTACAAGAATCAGACAACACTACAAGAATCAGACAACGCTAACAACACTACAAGAATCAGACAACACTACAAGAATCAGACAACGCTAACAACACTACAAGAATCAGACAACACTAACAAGAATCAGACAACGCTAACAACACTACAAGAATCAGACAACGCTAACAAAACTGCAAGAATCAGACAACACTACAAGAATCAGACAACACTACAAGAATCAGACAACACTACAAGAATCAGACAACACTACAAGAATCAGACAACGCTAACAACACTACAAGAATCAGACAACGCTAACAACACTACAAGAAACTTACACTTTATTCGAGAATGTCTGAATGTTAAACAGGCGAGCCTCTAATGTTCATGTGTTTTGAAGGTTTTAGGGTTTGATAACACACACAGTGAAGCAGCCTATCAGAGCAGAGTGTGTTCTGTGTGCACAGGTGAAGGGCAGGGATAAGACCGCAGACACAACACACACACACACACAATAACACGCACACACACACTGCAAATAGTGTCTCCACCAGTCAGCTTCATTTTCTGCCTTTAAGAAGTTTTAGAAACAGAAAAAAAAACTAATGAGCTACAGACTATGAGGTGCATTTTACTAACAAACATCCAATCACACAGCTCCACGTTCTGTTGCTGCTAGCAGTTAGCTGCAGCTAAACATTACACTGATAAAAACATTCAGCAGGTTAAAGGTCCAGTGTGTAATATTTAATATCCAAACCTGTGTTCTCAGTGGTGTAGAAAGACCTGACATAATGAACCGTTCTGTTTTTATCACCTTAGAATGAGTCATTTCTGTCTACAGACACCGAGGCTCCTCTTACAGGCAAGACAACACACTGCGCCGCCATGTTTCTACAGTAGCCAAAACGGTTCTGCAGAGCGCCGTGCACATTGTGAGCGCCAGTCTGATCACGAAACATGAGCGAATAAGCGAGAGAGCGAGCAGCAGAACATGACAGTTAGCAGAAAACATTACCAGTAAGTTGTCAGTGTGCAGTAAATGTACGGTGAAGGTCACAATGTGTCCGTTAATGAAGGCGGTTAGCTAACACCTCCCTGTGCAGCACGTTTGTTTTGTCTGTAGTAACGTTAGCTAAATTAGTAATGGAGGAACGTTAATTAGCAGCATGTCGTTTCTACTTAATGTTACCTGTCTGTGGTTGAGAACATCAGGTACGAGCTAAACTGGTGTAGAGCACATAGCTGTACACCAGTTTAGCTTAACCAGTGGATCTCAAAGTGGGGTCCGGGGACCCCCAGGGGTCCTTGAGGGGTTTCCAGGTAGTCCCCAGCAAAAAGGGTAATAATTTATTTTTCCAATAATTCTATCCATAAGTAGCAGAACGTCTGACTATTTTGGTTTTCATACACTAAAAGCAAAAATCCTCTCAGATGGGCGATCCTTGGACAAAATCTTCATTCATCAGTTTAGGGGCGCTTGATGGGAAAAAGTTTGAGGACCTCTGCTCTACACATACTGAACTCACTGTTCAATTATGTTTCAGTTTCCAGAGGAGTCTGAAAACAGTTTTTTAAAGAAAGGAAAGCGGTGACCACGGAGGAGCTGAGGTCAGTAAAGTAAATTACAGATGCCAACTAGTCCTTTTAAGCTAATGAGGGGGCGTTTCTTTTGGATTTTAATGTGCAAATGAAATGTTTAGTAACTATCCAGAAGTCCTGTATAGGAAAAAAGATGCATGGATAATCTGAATGGTCAGGTGAGATTCCGGCCTTAGTGTTTTCTGTAGGAACTGCCTTTGGGCTTTCTCTCTTTGCAAACCTGTTACATGCACCGAACAGATAATTAACCCGATAAAGGAAAGGAAAGAGCAGAACGTGACCTCTTTAAATAATTTCAGGACTGAGTTCAGACGTTTGTTTTTACAGTGTAGAAACTCTGCGGTCTGAGATCCAAGCACAAGACGTGTACACATTCCCGTCTGTCTGCACACACTCACACTCACACTGTCTGGCTTAACTTAACCCGGCCCCTTTCCTGTGTTTCAGACAAAACAAGCCGGGCTGCCCTTCCTCCTCCTCCTCCTCCTCCTCCTCCTCCTCCTCCGTCTGTCTGCTGTTCCATTAGTTTTCTGGGTTTCTGTTTGAATGTTTGAAGCTTCTTCAAAAGCTGCCTGGAGTTTTTTTAGGGGGTTCCTTTGATCCATTAAAACAGAGGTTCTCAAAGTTGAATCGGGGGACCCCCACGGGTCCCTGACGGGGTCCCCAGCAAAAAGGGCAATAATATATTTTCACTATTATTCCATGAATAAGTAACACAATGACAGAACGTGTGAGTACTTTGTTCACACACTTCATTCATGTTCCGTAATAAAACTCTAAAAATCAGTGATTTTGGGACATAAACGTAGTAAATCAGGTTCTGTGGTCAGTTTAGGGTTCTTTGACGTGAAAAGGATTCAGAACCACTGCACTAAAAGACTTCATTGCTTTATGACGAGGATCCACTAGTTCTTCTGGAGGACGTTTTAGAACATAAAATAGGTTCTAGGGATACTCTGAGGTTCTAGAGATTCAATGTTTGCATGTGAAACCTGCAGAGGTTCTTCAAGGGGTTTCAATGATTCTTTAGGGGTTCTATGGATTCATTAAGAGACTGCGCTGGTTCTTGTGGTGGTTCTGCAGGGTCTTTAAGGGCTGCATGATGTCTTCGGCACTCAGAGAGGTTCAAGGGTTATTGAGTCGGCTGTAAAGATCCTTGAGAAGGCTCTGTGGTTCACGTGGAGTCCAATTTCACGATTGAAGATTCAGTTGGTTAATCAAGGGGTTTGAGGGTTCTTCAGAATGCACCAGATAAACCTGAAATGGTTCTCGGGGTTGCAGAGGAGGTTCCAGGGACAGTCGAGGAGGTTCCAGAGGTTGTAGGGTTCTTGACTGGATTTTAGGATTCTTTATGATGGATCCGTGCAGTTTTCTAAGTTCCTTGAAAAGGGCCTGGGGAGCTTTGAGCAGGATCAAGGAGTTCTTATGAAGCTATGGGGTGTTTATTGAGGTTCCTGGGGTGATGCAGAGGTTCTAGGACAGGTTCCAGGTTGTTATTATGAGGGTTCACAGGATAATGGATAATGTTAGTAAAGAGGTTTAAGGTTTCAGAGTTAGTTCATGGTTCTAGTCTGTTAGCAGTTCCATAGGATCCTGAGACGGTCTGAGATGTTTCAGTGGAAAGGTTCCATGTTTGTCTGAGGAGACGGTAGTGGTTGTTGAAGAGGTGAAAGTGGTTTTTGAGTCAGTCCTTAAAAAGGTTCTGCTGGTTTCTGATGTTGTGAGCAGCCTGAAGTGTGATCGATTCTGATGAAGACTGTCTGACGGTCTGTGACCACGCCCAGTCTGTAGTACAGAGAACGCTGTGTGGGTCTGAAGATCAGACCTGATGTGGAACCCAAAGCACAGACGTGAAGGAAGTGATCATGTGATCATGTGACCAGGTGTAGAGGAAGGTGAGGGCTACAGAAGGGAAGTGAAAACCTGCACGAGTTCCTGTGAGCGTGAAGCAGGATGACGGGTTCAACATTCAGCATGAGTGAAAAGAAACTTTCACACAAGAAGGTTTCACTCTTATTCCTCCCACGACTAAAGTGCAGAGGTCGTTCATCAGCAGTGAAGTCGAGAACACGTGTATGAACCTGGTTTCACCACGACTCACCTCAGGTCACCTGTCTGCACTTCAGCTGACCTCAGTGCTCACACCTAAAGAACCCTCAATAGAACTCAATGAAAGCCCGTCACGCCAAAGATGGCGGTTGTATGCACATGTCCCGCCCCTCCCACTAGAAAGCCAATCGTCTGCTTTTTAAAAGCCGAGCTGGGAAACATCTTCAGCCAATCGTGTGGCTCCACCGCCGTCAGTTTCAGATGTTGTGGCGGCGAGGAGCAGGTGTGCGACCAGATCAGATGAACTACATGTCCGCCAGAACGCTGCGTGAAGAGGCTCCAGAGGCGATCTGCAGGACTCGTCAAACCACCACCACAGAAGAAGAAGAACAGCTGCAGTCGAACCACGTGGAGAACATGAGGGAGGTTCCTGTTGTGTGTTAGCGTGAAGAAGGTTCCGGTACTTTTACTGCAGATACTACAGGAAGCTGAGGATACTTGTTACTGATACTTTAGAGAGGAGAGCGCTCACGTTCACCTTTAAGTTCAGATATGTTTCGGCCTCAGACCTTCACCAGCTGAGGAACCAGCAGGTTCTCTCTAACCTGCTCGAGTCAGAACCATCTTCTGTCTTTCAACACCCCCCCTCTTTATTTTAAACGTCTGAGAGACCGACTGGTAGGAGAACAGACCTGCAGCCGCTCGGCCTGATGGGAGTTACCGCTGTGGGAATAACGTACCGACGCAGCTGAGGCCTTTAAACGTGGTCAGGCTGAGCGCCCCCTACCTGCAGCCGTCCGTCCAGCGTCCTCTGGATGGTGACGCACTTGCTGGGGTGGACGCCGTTGGTGGTGACGGCGGTGATGAGCGAGTCCAGCTCGTCCTTCTTCTCCTTCAGCTTCTTCACCAGACTCTCGATGGCCCGTTTGGCGAAGCCCTCGTTCTCGGCACCCTGCCGGTGGCACATCAGGCTGTGGACGATGCTGAGGCAGGCGTCGGCGCTGCTGCTGCTGGGGGGCGGGCCCAGCACCGACATGGTCACCTGTAGGGGGGGGGGGGCAGGTAAGATTAGTCAGGCCAATATTTACAGATTTTCTTTTTCTCCTACGGTAAAACATGACGGCGTGTTCAGGTCGAGCCCTCAGAAAGTTACAGTTACATTACAGACGACGTGTCTTTAAGTCAGCTGATCAAACATGAAGACAAACGGAGCTGCGGGTGTCTGAGCCAGTTTCTGTAACTCTGCGAGTGAAGAAAGACGGACTCTGTAAGAGAGACCTGAGCAGAAACGACACCAACACGAGACGATAACACCAAAACACCCTCAAACCCATTTCAACCATCATCAGAAAGAAAAATAAGCCGTCTCTGACGGGCAGACAGCAGCCGTCCCACTTCAAAGGTTTTGTCCCGGTGTAGCGGCTGCTTTAATGCTTCTAGTGACAATAAACACACCAGAGATCTTGATGGTCTAGAGAGTCTAGATCCTGAAGAGGACCCTGGTCTCCACAGTGTTTCTACATCCTTTCAGGACTCACTGGGTCCTGCAGCCGGTCAGGGTCAGTTCACTGAGAAGGACTCAGTACTACTGTGTAGTACAATAAAAATTGTATAATACTACAGTACAGAAGTAGTACAGTAACAGTATAATAGTACAGTAATACTACAGTAACAGTACACAGGTAAACACATGAGGTGCTTCAGAAACAGGAACTGTTCAGGGATCAATCCTGAACTCTGTCCTCCATCTGTCCTGCATCAGGTCTCCGATCAATCACCACACAGGTCCTCTGATTAATAATCAATATCTCTTCTGATTCAGCTGTTAGACAGTCAATCACATGACGTCAAATGTCCGTATCAGTCGATCAGTGATGTCATCAAACTCACTGATCGACTGATCATCAGTGACGTGCTCAGCGGCCGTCGGCTGAACTCACCGGGACTCTGCTCTCTCCGCTCGGCTGGGATCCGCTGCCTGTCACGGTGAGACCGGCTGTCTGTGGTCCTGCGTCCTCCGTCTGATCCTGACCGGGTCCGTCTGCACACCGAGTCTGAAGGGGGGGGGGCAGACAGCCAGACATAACAGGAAGTCAGGAGACTCCTGTCCTTTATAAAAAATAAGAGCAGCTGCACACGTAGACGGAACATCCAGGGATTCAGAAGGTTAGCGAAGAAGACCGTGACACGCGGTTCAAAAGCTCCGGAACAGGCTGGTAAGACTCTAGAGAGTCTTCTTCTGTTAAACTCGTGTTTCCAACGTCAAACTGGACTTTCAGAACCTGCTCACGCGCTGCCGTTCGTACTTTCTGCGCTGGTTATAAGGTGGGCTTTTATTTTGAAGGCTATGACCGGAAACGTGCTTTTTCACTTCTGCCACAAAGTTTGTTTGTGCGCGTGACTCCTGTTGAATGTGAGGCAGCCAATCACAGCTCTCCTCTGTCTGTTGCCTTCCTGTTTGTTCCTCCTCTCCTTCTTACCTCCCCTCCCCTCCTCACCTTCCCTCCTCCCCTCCCCTCCTCTCCTCCTCCCCC